CAGTGACTGGAATAATTGGGATGGGAGTGTCAGAGACAGTGCGATTGTCACAGGAGAGAGCGGAGTTTAGGGCTGTTGTACATAGGGTCGCCATGAGTCGCAGGCGACTCGATGGCACATAACAACAACAAGATATTCCAGTGGATTTGAGGAAGCCTTCAATGCTGCCTACAATTAGCAGGTTCTTCTTTTAAAGCATGTAAAGGCAGGTGAGTAAAAGTCCTAGAAGAGATAAGGAATAATAAAGGACACAGCTTGGTTGGAGCTTGGACATATACACAGATCATGGATCCTAGAACACATCGCCTGGCAGAGGCTTCTGACCCCCTGTGAGGTCATAAACATCAAGAGAAGAATCAAAATCACTAGTCCAAGGTTGATTCGTAAGAGGCAGAGGTCGGACACATGTTCTCTTTCCAAGCCTGTTGTTAATTCTCACACCAGCTGTCCTACCTAAGACGTTCTCTCCTTCTTTGCTGGGGTAATGCCAGGTTATGGCTTCACAGAACATACAGGCAGTTTACTCACGATTAAGAGGTTTAGTAAGAAAGTCGCAGGTCAGAAATTAAACAGGATACAGTTCTTCAGTCAGGATAGCCCCTCCTTTCTCCTGCTGGACTCTGGGGAAAGTACCATGAAACTTTATCGCTCCGCTGGTTAAGTGTCCAGAGGCGCCTCCTCTTCTGGTGGGCCACAGGCTGTCTTTTTCTGCACTCAATCCCCTGGTGCTCTCATCTAAGGCCATACATTTAAACGTTGCCCATATGCTGATAGCATCCTTTTAAAAAAGTTTTATTGTTATCAATTTTAGTTTTAATGAACATTTACAGAGACTTTGAATTTTCATTCATTCATTGTTGCACTTTTCGCCCTGCCCACCCCTCCCCCGCAATTTGCTCTTCTCTTTGAAAAGTAAAAGATAAATTCTTTCATTGTTATGCAATCCCTCCCCCCAAGTCCACTCCACTATGCAGCCTTCGCTTTGGACTCCTGTCATGACAATAATATCTAATCATAGATCCCTTTCAAACAGTTCTCTCCCTCATCTGTTTCAATGCAGTATACATCATTCCTCCCCTCCTTCTCTGTCTTCCCTCAACCCTAGTGTCACTCCTGTTTTACAACAGTGGTCCTATGCAGTATTTGTCCTTTTGTGACTGAGATATTTCACTCAGCATAATGTCCTCCAGGGTCACCCATTTTGAATAATATTGCATGAGTTCCTTGTTTTTCAATGCAGCGTAGTATTCCATTGTGCGAATATACCACAGCTTCTCTAGCCATTCGTTTGTTGATGTGCACCTCGGTTGTTTCCAACTCCTTGCTATTGTGAACAAAGCCGTGATAAACATGGGTGTGCATATATCTGCTTGGATGTCAGTTATGGTCTCTTTGGGGTATATTCCCAGTAGTGGAATTGCTGGGTCAAATGGTATTTCTATTTTCAACTTTTTGAGAAAGCGCCATACAGCTTTCCACAGTGGTTGCACCATTTTACATTCCCACTAACAGTGAATAATGGTTCCAGTTTCTCCACAACCTCGCCGGCATTTGTTGTTTGGATAACGTCCTTCTTACACCTCCATCCTGCACTTGCACCCTGAAGATCACCTTTGGTTTTTCACTTCCTTCTTGATATAACTTAGGCCTATCTCTGTAGGTGACTCCAAGTGCAAAACCAGCACATGGCAAAGTCTGACCTTTACCTTAATCAAGGAGGAGAATCACCGTCAACAGGCTGATTTCTGAGAGGTGGAAGTCAGGTGCGTCCCCACACTCCACGCTCCTGACCTTCTGACCAGGCTGACACTCGCCCTTCCCTCCTGTGACACGTTCTGCTTCTCTGCTGGGTTCAGCAGGTCATCCAGTGGCCACACAGACCTCAGAGCCAGTACTCACATCTCTGTGGTCTCTCAGGGATGTACTGGTCACAGTTCAGGGTCAGGAGTGACTCTGGGTACGATTCTTTGATCAGAACAACCTCTTCTCAGCTGTGCTCAAGACAGACCTCTCTCCCCTCGGTCAGCTGCTTGGCCCGACCTCTGCCCTCCTTGAGCAATTGTTAGAAAGCTCTTCAGTTGTTGTTAGATGGTGTCAAGTTCACCGTGCCTCACAGCGACCCTGTGAACAGCACATCTGAGCCTTGCCCTATCCCGTGCCATTGTGACCTCCATCGGTTCAAGTCCATTGCCATCCTCACAGTGTCAGTCTTTCTGGCTGGAGTTCTGTTAGCTCTGCTTCTGTAAGAGCCCAGAAGGACCTGCCTCTCCTGCCTGAAGGCGCACAGCTTTCCCACTCTGTGGGCTGGGAAGCCCTCTACTTACTCTCTTTCGAGCGTGTCTCCTGGTTCTCCTGCCCCCATTTTTCTGCTACCTTCATGCCTCACCGTCTCTCTAGCTTCACAGCTCTCTCCTGGGTCGAGGCATCAGCAAAGGGACCTGACGTCCAAAGGACACGCGCTCCTTTCTTCACGCCGCCAGTGAGACAGTGAGGTGCTTCCATTCTGCCTCTGGGAGGGCTCAACTGACAAGACCCCATGTTAGCTTCCCACACCCCTTGTAGAGTTCCTCCTCACAGAGCTGCCCTGGATTTTATTTACATCATGAGAAAACTGTCCGGTCTCCTTAGCGGGCCCCAAACAACCTCACATTTTAATGGTTCTGACCAGTCCTTTGGGGATGGCACAGGACTGAGCAGTGTTTCATTCTGTTGCACGTAGGGGGTCTCTGTGAGGCCGAGCTGGCTGGACAGTGCCTAACAGCAAGGCCAGAGGAGCCCGATTATATCATTCTCTGCACTGCACCAAGTTAGTGTTGCTTTGTGCATGTTTTGAAAAAAATTCGTTCGTTATTGCACATTTTCTTTCTTCCCTCCCTCACCTCCGCCTCTAGTCCACTTTGAAATGCACATCTTGATCCAGATTGTTGTCCTAATCCAGGATTTCTTCAACTAAGCTCCCAGTCCCATCCCTAATCTGTTCCTTCCACAATTTTCTTCCATGGTTTCCTCATTTCATTTAATAATTTTTTTTCATCATAGTTGTTCAAAACAGAGACCAGTAAATGTTTTCCAGAAGGGACAGCAAGTAGATAGTTTAGGTATTGTTGATAAGTCTTTGTCATAAATATTCAAGCCATGAAATTATTGGGAAAGTCTGCTGTCAGAAACCTCTCCAGAGTACTGAAGAGCAATGGTGTCAGTCTGGAGACGAAGGTGCACCTGATACAGGCCATGGTCTTTGCAATTACTTGCTATGCATCAGAGAGCTGGACAATGACTAGGGAGGACAGAAGGAAGAATTGATGCCTTTGAGCTGTGTGTTGGAGAAGAGTATTGAATGTACCATAGACTGCTAAGAGAATGAACAGATTCATCCGAGAGAAGGTTAAACCATGCTTCTCCTTGGAGGCAAGGATTCTGAAGCTTCGTCTGACCTACTTTGGACTTGTTGCAAGGAGGGACCAGTCCTTGGAGAGGGATGTCATGCTTGGGAGGGTGGAGGGACAGCGCAGGAGAGGAAGACTCTCGATGAGATGGATTGATTCAGTGACTGGGGTATTGAGGGTGGGTGTGTCGGAGACAATAATCCTGAGTCAGAATAGAGAAGGGCTGTTGTACGTAGAGTCGCTGTGAGTCGCAGGCGACTCAGTGACACGTAACATCAACAATAACTGTTGCGGCACTAAAGTAGCCATAGGCATTTCATAAACCAACAGATGTGTCTGCATTTCAGTAATACTTTATTTATAAAAGCAGAAAAAAAAGTGAATCAACTAGTTGATTCTGCAGAGCAGAGGATTAACTTAATACAGCTTTTCTTCAGCCATTGTCTTTTTGTCTTCTACTGTGTGATTGGGTCAGTTTAGCTCACCCCATTGCCTTGAGTGTAAACTGACTCACCACTGAGCCTCCAATGGGTTTTCAGAGGCTGTAAATCGCACAGGAGGAGACTGCCTGTCTTGTGGAGCAGCTGGTGAAGTCGAACCACCTGCCTTTGTATTGAAAGCGCGGCTTCTTATCTGCTAGG